TTGGTAATACTACAAGTAACCACCAATAAAGTTAGGACACAGAAGATTTCAGTTACCAATAAAAGTCCTCTGTGTCTCTGTAGTCAGTGTCTCCTGCTCAGTCCACACATAAAGGCTGACCTATGTTTTGTCAGTGTAGGGTAGTTAGTCTGGTCTCTATAGAATTTCAGTAAATGAATAACACAGATATACCCTTTTATGTTGGTCTTCTTTTACTTAGAATGTTTTTGAAATCTCACCAGAGCATTGTATATATTGGTCTTTTATTTCTTGTTGTCAAATATTATTTGTTTAGTTTATTCATTGCTCTTGCTGAGCATCTAAGGCTATTACAAACATATCATGAGCATTCGAGCACAAATCTCTTTGCTGACATACATTTTTGTATTTTCCAAGGTATTCTTTTTTTTTTTTTTTTTTTTTTTTTGGCTGACCAGTGACTCACAGCGACTAGGTGGGGGCTGGGACCCAACATCTCTCCCATCTATATATTAGTGCTTGTCTTAAGTGACTATGATGTTAATGCCAACCTTACCTATCAATGGAGAAATTACCCAAGTTGTATGACCCTCCCATCTTTTTTTCAGTTTTTTTATTATTTATTTTTAAGTTTAAATTTAGATTAGAAACAAGGTTGCTTCACAAGTCAGTTCCAGGTCCCTCTCTGTTTCCCTCCTCCTGTGCCCTTCCCCCAACCCCCCCCAATATCCCCTCATTTCCCCAGGGAGGGTGAGGCCCTCCATGGGGGTGTCCACAGTCTGTCATTTCATCCAGGGCAGGGCCCAGACCCTCCCCCAAGAGTTCAGGGTGAGAGTGCATCTCACATTGTCGGATGGGAGTCAAAAGTCCATGTGTATACTCGGGATGAATACTGATCTACTGCCCAAGGCTCAATAGATTACCTAGGCCTCCTCACTGACACCCACATTCAGGAAGTCTTGATCAGTCTTCCCAGAGTATTCTTAAAAATCTGCTTCTTGTTTATACAGTCAGTGCATGAGTACCTTTTGAGAAACTGCCAATCTATTTTCCAAAAGGAATTTACCACAGTTCATTTTTGCCAGAAATATATGTGTTTCACTGGGTCCATGTTCTTGTCGATTGGTAGTTTCAATTTTAGTCACTCTGTGGGTATGTGGTCATTTTAATTTGTATTTCTTGGGTAAGTAAACTTTATTAAGCATTCTTCACATTCCATCCGTGTCTTTTCATCCATCTTCTTTCTGAAATTTCTGTTCAAATATTTCCTTACCTTCACAATGGACTGTCTTCTTCCTGAGTTCCCTGTATATTTTAGAAACAGATTTTTTAATGATTTATTTATTTATATGTATACAACATTGTGCCTCTATGTATGCCTGCATGCCAGAAGAGGGAACCAAATCTCATTCCAGATAGCTGTGGGCCATCATGTGCTGGGAATTGAACTCCGGACCTGTGGAAAACCAGCCAGTGCTATTAACCTCTGAGCCATCTCTCCAGCTCCAGAAACAGATCTTTTGTGTTTTATAAATATTTGATCCAAGAGTAATGATTGCTCTTTTAATTTCCTGGTGGTATTATTTCGTAGGCACAAGATTTGAATTCCAAGGAAGTCTAATTTATATAAAAAAGATTTTTATAATTAGTGGGTTAGGTTTTTTATTTGTTGTTGTCTTTTTGACTAAGAAAAATTTATCTCAAAGTTGTGAAGATCATCTCTAACATTTGTTTCAATTTAAAATTTTTTCTTTTGATATTTATGTGCAACATGAAGTTGAGATTAAGTTTCATCTTCTATGGACATCCAGTTGCCAAACACAATCCTACTGTTCTTTTCCCACTGGCATAGCAGGTTTCTTTGACCTTCTGTGTGGTTGGTTTCTGAACTCTGTTCTGCCCCAGTAAGCAATGTGTTTGTTCTGGCAGCATAGCCACCACAGTGCAGCGACTGTTGTAGTTGTGGCCTAAGTCATCAAAACCAAATGAGCCCCCAAATGTGTACCGTTAAATTTATTTTTCTTACCGGGCATTGGTGGCATGCGCCTTTAATCCCAGCACTCCAGAGGCAGGAGCAGGCGGATCTCTGTGAGTTCGGGCTAGCCTGGTCTACAGAGTGAGTTTTAGGACAAAAAAAAAAAACCCTGTCTCAAAAAACCAAAAGAAAAAAAATTTTCCTTACTATCCCAGGATTTTATTTTATTTTATTTTGATATGAAAACCTTAAATCCTATTTAGTCTTTTTTTTATTCTTCTCTTATATAATACATCCTGACTGCAGTTTCCTCTCCCTCCATCCCTCCCAGTTCTGCCTCCCACCTCCCCTCTCTCCCAGATCCTCTCCTCATCCATTTCCCTTCAGAAAAGAGGCCTCCCAGAGATATCAGCTGAACATGGCATAGCAATACACAGTATCTAGCACAAAAAAAACCAATAACAAAAAACAAACAAACAAACAAAAACACCATTTGGGGATTTTGATTGGGATGCCACAGAAGGTGTGGGTCATTTAGAGGGCTAAGAAACATATTGATGGTATTGAGTTTTTTGATCTATAAACCTGAGATATTCTTCTACATATTTAGATCTTTGAGGTTTTTTTCTTTTCTAAAGTGTTGGTCAGTGTTCAAGTCTTACTTGTCATATTTTGTTAGTTTCCCTAAAACATTTCATGTTATGTTGTGAGTATAACTTACATTTATTTATTTATTTATTTAGACAGGGTTTCTCAGTGTAGTTTTGGAGCCTGTCCTGGAACTCACAGAGATCCACCTGCCTCTGCCTCCTGGGATTAAAAGCGTATGCTACCACCACTAAGCTAACTTACTTTTAATTTTCAGTTTTCAAATATATGTGGCTAGTAGATAGATGCAATTGACTTTGATAAGGTGACTGTAACCTTGCCGGGTATACTTAATAGCTAGGTAGTTTCTATGTGGATTATTTAGGCTTTTCTAAACACGTGACCATGTTGTTTGTGAATAAAGACCTCATAGTCAGGATCATTCAGTTTATACCTTTATTTTATTTCCTAATAAAACCCAAGAGTCATTTGTCATATCTAAGAGGCTTTTGATACACTGTCTTCGCTTCAAATGACTTGTATTGACGGAGCAAGAGAATCAAGCAAAATTCAAAGGTGAAATGGGAGAAAGGACAGCACCTTTTGGTTTTTTGTGTCTCTTCCATCTGTCCACTGTCACCATTCATGAGATCTTTTGTGTCCTCATAGCCTGGCAATGCTTCACACTCAAAGTTGTTTGATATCTATCAAGTAAAATGATTATCTATTAAGACCTACTGAGGACGGATTCAGCTATATGGTAAAAAGATTTATAAAAAGGTTTTTCAGTTAGGTATAGCTACAGATGCCTGTAATTCCAGCACTTGAAAGTAGTGGTGGGAGGATCAGGAGTTCAAGGTCATCCTTGGCTACACAAGGAGTGAGAGGCTAGCCTGGGTTTCATGAGATTGCTTCTCACAAACAAGAACAAAACACAAAACAAAGGCATAATAATTTGTAAATTTTTTTTGTTCAAAACATTTTCATTCGAATAATGTCATGTCATCTGTTGGCACAGTTCTCTAACTATCCTGCCATTCAGTAGGTGGATTTGCATACTTTCTCAATTGAAAACAATGTTTATGCCCAGCCCCTAGTTTCTTACTTGAATGCCTCTCTCAGTGGGGAACCTCAGACAGCCATTCACAAGCTCTTGGAGCCCTATTCTTTTCAGACACAGGCAGCTCTAGGGCTGTTGCTATCTCCTGATCTCTGCTTTCACTGCTGCCAGAGGGCATGGTGAGGCATGGGAACACTGGGTGCCTCCAGCAGTGGGATTGGTTTCATTTGATTCATAGCCAGCTCTCTAAAATTAACCGTGGCTAAAGCTGGAAGGCTTTTAAAAAGCTTTCAGCGAGATTATCTATCCTACTAGACCAGCAGATGGGTCTAATCGTCCATGAAAGGAGAATATCTCCCCTGTGAAATGGCCACTGTGCCTGTAACCTGTTTCTGCTTGACCTGAGCTGTAGAGTCCCAGGGACCTCTGCTTACTGCAGAAAGCCAGGTCTCTAAAATTTAGAGTTCTCTCACCCAGATATTCCTATGTGGTCCCTGGGGTCCTTGCATATTTCCAAATTTGTGAACTGTTGCTGTCATTTGTTAGTACAGTATTTATCAGTCAATTCACGTCTTCAGACTAACTAGAGCGTGGCTGTCTACCCTCTTTGGTGTAGCAGCCTCCATGGTAGTAAAAGTGGAAATGAGCATAAACTAAGTAAGGGGAGTGAGTGTCTTTTGCCCCGTCAGCGTTGGTGTCACTGTGGGAAATAGAGCTTTAAACTGATGAGTGCATTTTGTTTCTGTTTGTTAGTCTTGGAAATTATCAGGCTTAGGTTGCAGAATGTTAACACTTGACAAAAAACTACAGTAATACATAATAAACTTACCCCAAACTGCATTTCTATAATTATCGGTTTTAATGACTTCCTTTATGTTATTGAAAGGTAGCATTTCAATTTTCTAAGCTATTTTCCAATTACTAAGCATACAGATTGTTTGTTTTTGCTACTGTCTGTAAACTAGACACTAAGGTTTGCCATACTTGAAAGTATTTTTCTGGGATGGACTCATAGAACTGTGGTCTAAGGGTAGTTACATATCTTTATGCTTCTTGAGACAGACCACCTAATCAGTTGAAGGCAGGTCTTTTCAGAGAGAGAGCAATAATTTCTCAGTTGTAAGTATATGGATATCATTTTTCTCTGATACATGGGAATACGATAAATGGTACTAAAGATGACAATGTTATGTTAGTGAGAAAGATAACAGACCAAAGGATCTTAGCTCCTAGAGAGTTTAAATCAGGCTATGTTGGTTATACCAACTTCTTACTCCAAGCCTGCCACTGCTATATTTGGGGGACTCAGAGTTCTGCTACAAGAGATTTCCACTCTTCTGGGAAGAAGTCTGTTGACCTCCCTGTATGAGGTGAATTTCAGTGTGTGGTTACTTGCAGCATCCACCAGTTGAGGAGCAAAGTGTCTGAGGAGCATGACATTCTCAAGAAGAAAGAGTTGGAGTCAGGTCCTAAAGCATCCCATGGCTATGGAGGTCGGTTTGGAGTGGAAAGAGACCGGATGGACAAGGTGAGTAGAAAAGGAGAGATCTGTTTAAAAAAATAACAAAAAGGAAAGTACTAGCCTATTGGTGGTTTGATTTTAAAATTTGTTCCAAATATGGTGTCCATTTGGACTCTAAAGCAGAATATCTATGTGCTGCTTGTATCTTTTTTTTTCTCCCCTCTGATCTTAACACACAAGCTTTAGTTGTCAGAAAAGAGACTCAGGACATTAGAGCAGCTAGCCTGTTATAGTTCCAAGTATCCATGACCCTGTAAGGTGGATAGCTGTCAGCTTGACACAATATGGAACCTGAGAAAACAGCATCAGTGAAGGACTATAGGTCAGATTGACCTTCTGTGTATCTGTTGGGGATTGTCTTAATTACTTTAATAGATGTGGGAAGCCCACTGTGGGTGGCACCACTCTCTGGACTTGGGTCCCATTTGTATAAGAGTAGATACTACGAATTAAGCAGCAAGCATTGGTGCATTCATTCTCTCTCTGCTTTTGATGGTGGATGTGACTGGTTCCTTCAAGTTCCCACCTTGACTTCCCCAAAATCAAGGACCCAAACCTGGACTTGTAGTCAAGCACAACCTTTGTCTTTTAAAGTTTCTTTTGGAAAGATGTTTTAATCATAACAACAGAAACCAAACTAGGTCACACTTAGACTGAGGAACCAGGGAACATTAGTGGAGGAGGGAAAGTAGGCTATAGAATTACTTGTTGCCTTTAAAGGCCGTGTATTCTGTCTATATTGCAACTCTTATTATTTTACTGTAGCTGTTCTCAACCTGTGAGTTGCAACACTTTTGGGATTAACATATCAGATATCCTGCATATCAGATATCTACATCATGATTCATAATTGCAGTTATGAAGCAGCAATGAAATAATTTTGTGGCTGGGTGTCACACCAGCACAAGGTATAAGGATAACAGCATTAGGAAGGTTGAGAACCACTGCTTTAGTGTATTATGTGTGAATACATGTTGTATGCATGTGTTGTATGTGGTATATATATGCATGCAGGTTTGGGGGGGTTGGTAAGTGCACATGTGTGTATACAAGCAGAAGCCACAGCAAGGTATCGAATGTTTTTCTCTACAGCTCTCTGCCTTAGTGTGTTGAGACAGGATCTCCCACTAAGTGTGAAACTCCTATTTCTGCCAAGATGGTTGCAAAGGGAGCTCCCAGAATTTGCCTGTCTCTTTTCTTCCATGTTGGGGTTATAGGTACATACAGCCATACTTTTTTTTTGTGGATGGTTAGAGGTTGTAGGGCCCAGGGCAACTTACTACACACCTGGCATTTAGCTGCACTGCTGCCATGCCAAGGCTCAGTGGAGACCAACCAGAATTTTCAGTTCACCCTGGGACAGCACCTGAGTCCAAGAGAGACCATAATCTGGGACCACCTGGGCACCACCCAGGATGGGACCATCCAAACGGGAAAGTACCTAAGGTTCCAAATGTTCCAACCGTTGTAGATAGATAGGATCACCTTATGTCCCTTAGCTTAACACACACCCATCCCCTTTCATCAAGACACCCCTAGACAAATGTCAACCAGTCAGGGGTCTTGAACCTTAAAAATCCCTTATCTCAACCTGTGCTATAAAAACAGACAAACAAACAAACAAAAAAACAGCCCTACCTGGGATTGGACATTCTCTGTGTTCTCAGCTGCTGCGTCTGATAGACCAGACAGAGAGTCCAAGCTCAAACTTGAATAAAGGTTCTTTGCTTTTGCATATGATTTCGGACTCCTTGGTGGCTCATGGGTGACCCTGTAATTGGGGCATAACAGATATTTGATTTTAGAGCCTCATGTTTTCAGAACAAGGACTCTTACATACTGAGCCTCTCCTCAGCCCTTTCGTAATCTTTTATATACACGTTGAAAACTCACTGCTGAACTTTGGTTGTCCAAATGAGTAAAGATCTAGGACAAAGATACCAGGCTGAGGAGTGAAAAACGCCTGTCTTGGCCATGGTATCTAGTCAACACCCTCTGATGCACCCAGGCTTTTCTCCTTAGTTTTCTTTTGCTCTACAGTGCTCCTCTTTGAGCTCTCCTCTCCCTTCTTTGGGGCTCAACACTGCTCTGGCTATCTCTTCTCTACCTTCTGATTCCAGTACATTCTTGGAGGCTCTGAACAAGGGCTCTCCAGTGGTGTAAAAAAAAAAAAAGAATCTGGGATGGGCACAGCTCTAGAGAAAGTTACTGCACCCCCATCATGGGTCCTTGGCACCACTGGCAGAGGCTGTGGATCTGCCCTGGAATGGAATTTCTTGTATCCTGACATCCATTTGCCATCTCTAATCTTAAGGCCGTTCTGATTTTTTTGTACACCATTCCTGATTTTCCTAGAGTGCTGTGGGCCATGAGTATGTTGCTGATGTGGAGAAACACTCTTCACAGACTGATGCTGCCAGAGGCTTTGGGGGCAAATATGGAGTTGAGAGGGACAGGGCAGACAAGGTAAGTGACAACTTTTCCCTCTACCATAGTCCTTACCTTATATGGGCTTTACCAACACCCAGTCCTAAATGGAAGTCCATGCTTCTCAGGTGAAAGACAGGACAGCGGAGGCCATCAGTGTCTGGTGCTGATACTGAGCTAGGACAGCTCTCATGACCTGGCTCAGCAGGTTTGTTGGTGCTGGGGGCTGTGTGGTGCATCATCACCATTTAACACAGGGTTAGTGTGGAAGTGCAGCTCTGGCCTAGCACAGGAGATGCCCAGGGCTCACACAATGCCTCTTTCAGCCAGTCAATAGGCAAAGATACTTCAACCCTGAATAAGAATTCTACAAGGCATTAGAGGAGGCAGAATTTCTTAAATAAGCAAATAAACCAGTCAGTTAATTAGGATGACAATTCTCTGAGGAGGTGAAGGACTAAACAATGAGCTCTGAAGCTGGGATGCCTTTGTACCCAAGAGTAGTTGGAAAGTGGAAAAGTAAAACAGTACTAAGTGAGTGCAGCTGATACAGTAGGGTGAGCAAGGCTAGGGATCCCTTGATGCTTTAAATGCTGATATCAGGATATCAGGGGCATCCTCTTTCAAGGCACAGGTTGGAGTCTCCTCTGAAAGGGGAGGAGAACTGGGGGAGGGGAAGGGAGAGGAGTAGGGAAAGGAGGGGGTTGGAGAATCTTCACAACTGGCTGTGAGAACTGGATTATTATTATTATTATTAATTATTGTTGTTGTTGTTGCTGTTACCAGCAGGTAGGCCTGCTTGAATTGGTCTAGGTAGGATGCTTTTAGCATGCCATGTCACTTTAAAAGAAAGCAAGGCCCTCACTAGGTGTAACATTTGTGGGGATCTTCAGTATTGCAGAGAAGAAAACCCACAGGAATCCACAGGGCCTCATTTTAATAGCCCACAGTGCAGTGGTGAGGGGGAAGAGTTAGCTTCCTGACATGGAGTTTGCCCAAACAAGCCTACCTGGTGGGTTATCTGTAGCCCGCAGTGGGTGAGGAGGAAGTCGGCCCACTGGCTGGAAGGTTGTCCAGTGGCCTGCCAGAGAGGAAATGCCTCAGCAATAGGGGGAGTTCTTCTGGACGAGAGTCCTGGAGCATGCTATAATGGGTCTAAAGTGTTAGCATCCATAGGTTAGCCTGGTCTGACCCAGGACCTCTCTCCCACGCTATCTGCTTAGTTAAGAATTAACTGTCTTCTGTTTCCCCTCATGTCCAAAGTCACCCTTGCAAACAGAAGAGTTTGAGGCCAACCTCAGGTATAGGAGACCCAGAGAAAGAGAGATGGAGGGAAGGGAAGAGGAGAGGAGGGAGACCGAGAGACTAGTTCATAAGATACAAAACCTACCCTTGCTTAGAAACCTATAGTTACAGAGCAAATGGGGACTCGGCTCCCAGGATGCATTAGATCTTGGGACTAACTTGGATCCCATAACCCCAAAATCTGTGTCTTGCATCCCTGTGCGTCCAGGCTGAGAGCAGCACAGTTCAGTGGGAGTGAGGTGCCTAGCCCATATACACACACAGCTTTTAGTTTACAGGGCCTTCACTATCTATTGTCTCATATTAGTCTGTGAGACTCACTGAGGAAAAATAGTGCTGATTCCTTGAGAAACTCAATGTAGATACTGTATGTACATGTATGTTGAGCTGGCATAGTTTTCCAAATGAAGAGAGATCACTTCTCTCCATTTACTGTTGTAATGGGTAAGACACATTTAATATCATTTAAGAGACCAGTGCTTAGTGATATTAAGGATTATTCCCAAAGCTACACAACTACAAATGAAGGAAATGGGGTTTGGATCTGGAGTGGTCTACATCCAGAGGTCATGATGACTGCTTTGTAATACTGTTCCTACTTTAAACCTCCAACCTAGCCACAGGTTCCTAAAATGGCCTCTGGGACTGAAATAAAAGTGAGGGTAAGTCAGAGAGGTAGGAAGCAGCCGATGGTAGCTAATAATTTCTCCTTCTCTCCTCTGCAGTCAGCAGTGGGCTTTGATTACAAGGGAGAAGTGGAAAAGCATGCATCTCAGAAGGGTGAGTGAGTACCAGCTCCTGGACCACCTCGCTGGCCCGCTCCCCTGCTCACATCTCCCTTCCAGCAGTCAGTCATGGCTTCCCATCTCCAACTCCCCATGGTTTTAGACACTTTTCAATTCCAATTATGGACTGGCTTCTTTGGCTCTCAAATTCATGCCATGAGCTTGATCAAGTCTGTCTAATCCTGTCTTTTCCTGGTTGGAGACAAAATATTCTCCTTTGTTCTAGAATCTATTGTCTTTAAAACTTAACCCACACCTTTGATGAGGAAAGAGTGAGCAGTGGCTTGAGGCATAAACCAGAGGTTCTCAGCCCATGGGTTGTGACTCATTGGTTGGGGGTGGGTGTCAAATGATCCTTTCACATGGGTTGCATTTCAGTTATACCTGCATATTAGATATTTACATTATGATTCATAACAGCAACAAAATTACAGTTATGAAATTGCAATGGAAATAATTTTATGATTGGGGGTCACCACAACTTGAAGAACTGTTTAGAGGGCCATAGCATTAGGAAGGCGAGAATTACTGCTATAGAGTTTCATATTTTGTGTTATTTATAGTTCTTGGGTGAAAAAATTAATGTGTTTGCTTAGTTTACTTTTCTTAATGGTTGTTTCCTTTACATTTTATAATCTTATTTATGAACATATTTCAGTGATAAAGGGGGTTATTTCCTTCTTGGGAGTTTCTTATGGCCTGAGTTGACTACAGAGAATTCTTGTTCTCTTCTAGCCGAGTCTGAGAGTGTTCATAGTCATGGACCATTGTTTTTCATTAAATTCAATTTCTTCACTAGAAATAGGTCTAGTTAGTCATTCTATCTTTTCTTAGATTTGTTATAAAATACTCATTTTTTATGAAGTTGCCACACTTTGTATAGATAGCACACTAAATCATAGTATTTCCTCATGATCTTTTTAACCTTTTTATAATTTGTAGTGGTATTGATATGTTCACTTTCATTTTGGATGTATTTTTTTTTCTGTTCATAATAGATCATTTTTGCTAGAGGCAATGAATATGATTTTAAAGACCTAACTCTTAGTTTTTTTCTAATTTTCTCAATTGTTATCTGTTCTAAAAATACACTAGGTTTTGATTCATTATTTTTCGTTATGTTAATGTAGGCTTCATTTTTTCTAGTTTCTTGAGATAAAACTTTATACTGCTGATTTTTGTCTCTTTCCAATATGGGTAAATTACACTTTTTCCTCTCAGTACAACTTATGTTGTACTCTACCAGTTTTATGTGTATTTTAATTTTAATTAAGGATAAAACATTTTCTAATTTTCCTAGTGAATTTTCTTTTGCTTATAAGTTATTTGAAAGTATATACTTCTGTCTTAGGGCTTCTATTATTGTGAAGAGACACCATGATCACAGCAATGCTTAAAAAGGAAAGCATTTTAATTGAGGAGGCTTACAGCTCAGAGGTTCAGTCCCTTATCATCATGGTGGGGAGCATGGTAGTGTGCAGGCAGACATGGTGCTGGCTATATCTTGGTCAGAAGGTAACAGGAAGTGGAATGGCACACTGGACAATTTCTTGAGCATAGGAGACCTCGAAGCCTGCCCCATAGTGACATACTTCCTCCAGTAAGGCTACACTTACTTCAACAAGGCCACATCTCCTAATAGTTTCACTCCCCATGAGGTTATGGGAGCCAATTACATTCAAACTACCACAACATATATTTCTAGTGTTTCCACTTATTCTTTGAGAGTTGCAAATGATATATTTTGATCATATACTTTAACCTCTCCCAATTCTACCCAGATCCTTCCTCACCTTCCCACCCACCTAACTCTTTATGCTCTTTGTCTCTCTTGAAACAAACAAATAAACAAAATATGCATATAGAATCCAATTGTGTTGGTCAGCTACTCTAGAACATGGGACCTTCCATGTGTCTAATAAGCTGGAAATAACGTATTTTCATTTCTTAAGCATTAAGGAAATTTTCCATTTAATTTTATTGATATTGGCTTTTAATTTTAATGAGATAAGAAAATGATTTCCAGTATTTCAGTCTTTTAAAATGTATTAAGGTTTACCACATAACCTGTTTGGTGAACACTCTGTGTGCATTAGGATCAAAGAGCATATTGTATAGTTTGGGAGTGTTCTTAAGAGACAACTAGGTGTTAGTGACAAAGTTATTTGGATCTTGGATTTTGATGGTTCTTTTTGTTCAGGAGGTTTAAATTTTCAACAATGGCCATAGACTCAACTATTAATTTTACTGTTTCTCTTGATTTTGCTTCATGAATTTTGATTTTATTAGATTTATTCCAGTGTACTTATTCCTGATGGAAAATGCTGTGTCATTCTTGCCTTTTAGAATGCATTCCTTTCTGATGTCTACTTTGGGTTGTGTTCTTGCTACATTTCTTATACTCTTTCCACACTTATATTTTCTTTGTGTGTACTTGCTCACTGTGTGGATGCATAAGCATGCATGAAAGCCAGAGGTCGGTGTTAGATGCTATCTTTGATCAATATGCACCTTAACTATTGAGACAGGGTCTCTCCCCAAACCTGGAGATTACAGATTTGACAAGACCAGCAGTTCAACAAGCTCCAGGCAAGCTCCTGTCTCTGCCTCTGTGACTATAGAGTCACAGTCATACACTGTCACACTTAGCTTTGTATCTATGCTCTTGAGATCTGAACTCAGGTCCTTGTAGTGGTAATCCACAAGAGTCTGGGAGAGGTTCAAAAAATTATTTAGGTGTAGAATAGTGGTAAACTCTCACTGATAGAGGACAGGCCAGACACCTCCACAGTTGTTCTACCCAAGGGGAAAGGGCACCAACAGCAAACATCCTGCTCAGCTCCTACCATCCAAGCGAGCATGAGAGCAAGAGAACGAGAGACCCTTTCCCTTAAGCTTATCAGTTGTCACATAGCAGACAAGACCATGCTCTAGAACTGCTGCCCCTAAGTCATTGGCTAAAAGGATGGAAATCCCACAATGGGTCCTCATATTTACATGGCACTGTACTGACCAACTCATCTCCCAGAGTCCTCCATGTATGTATTTTCTGAGATCAGTATTTAGGTTAATTTCTTAACTTAGCATTCCTGAATCCTGTAATTGGGAAAAATGAGTAGTTGCATTCCATACTGAGCTGATGGTCTAGAGTTCCAAATGTTGCAGGTAAAAGTTCCCCTTGTCCAAAAAAGAATAGACTACAGGACACTTCACCATTTCCTGTGCAAGTGAGCAGTGTTTCTGGACTTTTCTTTCTTTTTGAGGAGTGGGCAGAACCTCCTTTCCAACTCCCACACCCACTCTTGAGTAGATTTTAGAACCACAGACTCTACATCTTAATCCAAGTTCATTAAATGTTGACTTTAAAGCACTTGGGGCTTCTATGGTGTCTGCTCACAGCCACCCTCACACTTATGTGGCTTCAACTCTTGTATTTCTTTCTGGAGCCAAGATTATTTCATCCTCCCCTATCTTCCTTCTTTTCTTCTTCCTCTTGTTCCTGTTCCTTTTCTTTCTTCTCTTCCTCCTCCATCTCTTCCTTTGAGTTTCACTACTCAAAAAAAATGATATCATCTGGCTGAGATTTCCCTGTGTCTATGCGGGTGGAGGAACAGCGCACATCTCCTATGTCTGCCTGCCTTTGATCCCAGAGATTCTCTGTACATAGCTTTTCCTTGAAGAAGGGAAACTATCAAGTGGGGTCTTCTTGTCTTGGGATAGAAGCTAGGGAGTCATCCATGTTGAATTAGCTCACCTCTATCTGAGCTCTGAGCCATTCCCTGCCTTCTCTCTCATTCTGCACTCATTCCTTCAGACTTCCCTCTCTCTAGCATGTTGCAGTGGACCAGGGCTCAGGCCTCCTCTGTCTATTGCAGATTACTCTCATGGCTTTGGTGGCCGCTACGGGGTAGAGAAGGATAAACGGGACAAAGCAGCTCTAGGATATGACTACAAAGGGGAGACGGAGAAGCACGAGTCTCAGCGAGGTAAGTTGGGTTTGGAGGAGGGAGGTTGCTAGGGAGCACAGGATCCTCTTTCCTTCCTTTCTGGAAGCTTCCCAGGGTCCAAGAGTAAGGAGAGGGATGAGAGAGGCAACATGGATGGAAAGGACAGCAGGGTTGGAAGCAGAGTAGAGAAGGAAGGAGCAAAGAGGAAGGGGTTTGGGGAAGGAGTGGAGCCAGGCTGGGTGATGGGCACAAGGTGGCCTGGTATGAGTATTGAGGCCAGAAAGCTTTAGGGGGGACAGAGAGCTCTTCCCTGGTACACAGTAGGGATGGCTGGAGGGCTCGTCTCATTTTCCTATTTATTTCCTTGTATGTTTCCTTGACTGCCATTTCTCTTGCATTTCCTCTCTCCACCTCTCCTTTCTCTCCCAAGTTCCCCAGACCCACCCTCGGCCCTTTCCCTTTTCTTCCTGCTATCCATGTCTCTCTGACCTCTGACATTTCTTCCTCTTTCTCTGCCTTCCACATTCCTATCTCCCAGCCCTTTTGCTCCCTCTCTCCACCCATTCCCAGCATTTTCACTCCCAGAGTTTTCTTTCCTACAGATTATGCCAAGGGCTTTGGTGGCCAATATGGAATCCAGAAGGACCGAGTGGATAAGGTAAACACAGGATACCATGGTCTCAAGAGTGTCTCATAGTAAAGGAGTTGTACAGAGGATAGCAAGAGAAGGAGAAGCCCAAAGAAAAATTGATCTCTTGGAGCTGGGTCACTAAGGAGCCTGAATTCCATATCCTGAGGCTTAAGTGAGAAGAGTGGAGGGGGCAGAGTCAGAGGAAAGGTAGACACCAGGGAAATCAGACATGACATTTCAGGCATTTCTTAATCCTGTCTTGTCTCTTCCTGTTCGGCATCACTGTCCTATGTGTTCAACAGCTCCTCTTCCTTCGTGAGCAAGGGTTTGCTCCATTCTAGGTTTAACTGGCCTCAGAAACATGAAATTCTAAGTCTACTGAGCTTTCAAAGGGGAAGCTCAGTCCACCAGTAGAGTTCTTTACTCCTCTTTCTTCCACCAGATAATCTTGGAGAACTAGTCTAACTGTTGCTCACTCCATGGCTACGATGCCTCCCAGGGTAGCCCTATGCCCCAGTCCTAGTTTATGGATCACTCCCCTCCTGGTTCCCCTCACTATACACACTGTTCTTCTGCCTGCAGAGTGCTGTTGGCTTCAATGAAATGGAGGCCCCAACCACAGCGTATAAAAAGACTACACCCATAGAAGCAGGTCAGTCTTCATGCTTCCCTTCTCTGTGCCCTTCAGCCTCTTTTCTCTTCTGATTCTCTTTCCTCCAAGACTTTCCCTTGTATGCCCTTAACCACTGAGATTAGCCAAGGAATATGAGACCCCTACTCTCATAGTTCCAGAGTCTTGTCTCCTAGAAAATCTAGACCAACTGGATGGCAATAGTGGCATTAGGGAAGGAACTAGAGGAGAGACACCCAGAGACAAGAGTGAAGAGTTACCTGGGAAAGACAGGTAGAGTAGATCCTTGGATTGGGGAATAGGATTGTGGTGGGTGTAGTCACACAGAGACAAGAGTTACCTGGGTCAAGACAAGAGTTACTTGAGACACACAAGACAAGAGGAATTACATGGGAAAGGCAGGTAGAGTAGACTTTTGGGATGGGGAATAGGATGGTGGTGGGTGGAGACTCACAGATTTAAAGAACGTGAACAGAGAAAGATTCTGGTTCACAGACTCACATTTTGAAAGGACAAATGGTCCTTTGGTCATACAGAACCTGGGCTTCAGTACCATATGATCCCCAGGTCTTATTGCTCTCACTACCTTTGTACCTTCCTCTCCATAAATCACCCCCTCATCTTCTCTCCTCCTGCATTTTAGCAGATTTCTCTTCTTTCTACAAGTACTATTTCCTCTCTTTCCACTCACAATCAAAACACCCTTAGTTTTTCTTATCTGTGTCTACAGCTTCCAGTGGTGCCCGTGGGCTGAAGGCAAAATTTGAGTCCATGGCTGAGGAGAAGAGGAAGCGAGAAGAAGAAGAGAAGGCACAGCAGATGGCCAGGCAGCAACAGGAGCGAAAGGCCGTGGTAAAGATGAGCCGAGAAGCTCAGCAGCCATCAGAGCCTGTGGAGCAGCCAGCAGTGCCAGCCCCATTGCCCAAGAAGATCTCCTCAGAGGTGAGTGCCTGGTTATTAGGGCTCCAGGATCTCTTTCCCAGACTGGTGTCTTAGATGCCCAAGTGAGAGGCAAAATGAATGAATGAATGAATCAATCAATCAGTTAATAAATAAATAAGAAGGCAGATGTCTCCTTTGTTGAGCAGAGTCAGCTGTACTTGTCTTTATGAAGATTCTGTATGTGTAACTGGCTCCAGGGAGCAGAAGATTAAGAAAAAATAACAACAATAACAAAGACATCAAGATTTATAGATTCTACCTACCTGTTAGAGTCTCTATATCAGAGTCTAACAGATAGCAGGTTACCAGCTGCAACTGGTAGCCTCTGCTGTACCAAGTGGTCACCAGTTACAATAGGTATCCTTTGAGTACCAACTAAAGATGAAGGAGCCATCACCTCCAGAGTGGGACCCATCTTGAGGGATGTGTTGTCCTGGTCTAAAAGAATGGGAGGGTTCTTGGTAAGTATAAGGGAGAGTATGGCAGGTGGTTAGTGCCAAGACCTCGTTTATAGGTCTGGCCTCCAGCAGAGAGTCACCCACCACCGGAACCTGAGCCAATGAGAAGCAGAAGAGAACACCCTGTGCCTTCTGTACCCATGATGCAGACTCCACCACAGAATCCCCCGGAGGTAAGCAATGCCCCACAGATTCTCTGTTCCCACCCCATCTTCTCATGTCTTGGGCTATATGGGGCAGCCAGCCAATCATCCTACTTTGCTTGCTCTGGTTTTAGCATTTCCAGCCCTTAGCAAACTTATACAGTTGGTTCTCTTAGCTGCAGTATCCCAACAGGGTGCTTTTGCTTTGATGTTCCCTTGGTTTTCCAAAGACTGCCTTGCTTTCCACACCCCTCACCCCACACCCCTCACCTCATACCTTGAGTCCCCTCCTGTCCCTTCTTAGTAGGTGCTTTGAGAGAGGGCAAGTGTTTTAGGAGACTGGGGAATGAAGAACAGACTGCTTCCAAGGAAAGGCTTCTGAACAGAGGGAAGAGGTGGGGCAGGGGGTGAGTGTTAGCAACCCCATTAAGTCATCATTGAATCTTCCTGGTCCACATGCCTCTACTCAGGACAATGAGGAGCCCCCAGCTCTGCCCCCTAGGACCCCAGAAGGCCTCCAGGTGGTGGAAGAGCCAGTGTATGAAGCCGAGCCTGAGCATGAGGCTGAGAATGACTATGAGGACGTGGTGGAGCTCGGTCGGCAGGAGGAGGAAGCAGAGGGAGACTATGAGGATGTGCTGGAGCCTGAGGGTATCACTTCTCTGTCCTACCAGGCTGGTGTGTGGGGTGAATGGGGAGGGGAAGGCAGCTCCCAAATTTGGTCAGTTTCTAGGCATCAGAGATGGAGGAGGAATCTCCCCTTTCTGTGCAGTGGGATCACATTTGTTTGCCTTCTCCATGTCAATGTTTCTATTTCTCATTATTTAGGATCGTCAGCCGGGGCTGGTGGTCCAGGGACCTCAGCTGTAGCCCTGTATGATTACCAAGGAGGTAAGTCTGAAAGCCACCTAACGGGCCTGGTACATAGGAAAAGGGGTGGGTTCTGAGGGGCAAGAAAGGGCCCAAAAGACTGGGCTAGTTTCCTTCCCCGAGGCTTAGAGTTGGCACAGGAAGGCACAGAGGGATTCATGTCTAACCTTTCTAATGTCTCCTCAACTTCCTCCCCAGAGGGAAGCGATGAGCTTTCCTTTGATCCAGATGACATCATCACTGACATTGAGATGGTGGATGAAGGCTGGTGGCGGGGCCGTTGCCATGGCCACTTTGGACTCTTTCCTGCAAACTATGTCAAGCTCCTCTAGTGACCAGCCCCATTGTCTTTTGCTGCTGATTTTCCATGTTCAAATTGTCTCTCCTCCCTCTTCCCACTCCACAGTACTGCCGAAAGGAACCAATAGAATGCCATGAGACCCCTGAGGTTCAGACAAACCTCCCTCTCCTGCTCCACCAAGAGCTTTAGGTAGAGCCAGCATGAGGCAGGGGCCTTCCCTCTGTGTCCACTCTTCCCTAGAGCAGCTCATGGAATCTATCACCTGTGGTCCTGTCTCCTTCACCAACACCCACTATGCTCTCTTCCCTCTGGGTGCTGGCATTCCTCTGTGTGCTAGCCTTGAAGGAAGCTCTCACCAGGCATCCTGATTTGCCTGTTTGTGCTTTTTGCTCTTCTGTTTAGTCCTAAAACAGAAAATAAAGAGAGACCATGGCTTAGTTTTGTACTGGGTAAGTGGTACTTTTTGGCTCTGACTCTAATCCTCATCCAGATGTACCCAGCTTGGTGGTTAGGATGTGGTACTCTTACCTCTGCCCAAACCCTTTATTTGGTCGTACTTTAGCCCCTGTCCAAAACAGACAAGCGTATTGTCTTAGTTAAGGTTAAAATGTGATAAACACCATGACCAAAAGCAACTTGTGGAAGAACAGGTTTATTTCAGCCCACAATTCTCAAGTCACACTCCATCACTGAGGGAAGTCAGGGCAGGAACTCAGAGCAAGAACCTAGAGGTAAGAACTGAAGGAGAAGCCAATGAAGAATGCTGCTTACTGGCTTTCTCCTTACAGCTTGCTCAGCCTGCTTTCTTATATACCCAGAATCACCTGCCGGGGTAGGGGAGTGGGGGAGGTGGGGAGGTGCTGCCCACAGAGGGTGGGGCTCTGCCCACATCAACCACTAGTTTAAAAAGTAAGTCCCACAGACTTGCCTATGGAGGAATCTATGAAGACTTTTTCTAGAGTAAGATTACTTCCTAGATATGTCTAGGTTTGTGTCAAGTTGACAAAACCAACCAGTACACCCAGTGGCAGCAATATGGAATAACAGGGTCAGGTGATATCCAGATTAAGGTAGTTCAGCCTCTATCGGCTTTAGCAGTTGTATGAAGTTAGCTTCTTGCCTGGGAAAACCACCAGACTTTTTCAGCACATGGTGATTGTGTGTGTGTGTGTGTGTGTGTGTGTGTGTGTGTGTGTGTGTGTGTGTGTGTGTGTTGGCTAGAGGTCAACATTAGCTGTTAATCCTCAGGAATATAACCTACTTCTTTTTAAAAAGGAGTTCTCTTTGATCTAGAGCTCACTTAATAGGCTAGATTCTGCTGGCCAGGGAGCCCCAGGGATCATCTCATCTATGTGCCCCTAGCACTAAGATTATTAGCAAAAGCCACCACCACAGGGCATTTTCTGTGGGTTCTGGATATCAAACTCAGGTCCTCATTCTTGTCAGGCAAGTACTTTGCTAACTGAGCCATCTCCACAGCCCAAGGCACATGATGAATTCTTGAGGAAGAAGCACAGATTGGAAGTCAGAAGGGAAGGTTGCCCAAAAGAAAAGACTAACAGCAAAGGAGATCAAATTCAAGGGAACTGAAGAGTTACTGTGCCCTCAGGAGAGCCCAGACTCCCTGATACCAGCAGCTGGAGCCCAAGTCCAGGAGAGGGTAGATGGAGAAAGTTCATGAAGCTCCTGTGTAGTCCAGAGCTAGAGCAGGTATGAAAGGAGCAGCCGTGATCTGCAAAAAGTGACTCCCCAAACACAATACAGGGATGAGGCAGGCAAAGTGGGCTTAACCCAGCCCCAGCAAAGACAGAGATGGGAGGTCAAGGGTACAATACATATGAAAGTCAGGGATTGAAGTGTGCCATCTTTAGTTGTTAAGATACAGAAGCCAAAGCTGTTAGCAATGTTGACATTGGTTTCAGCTGCCAAAAATGGAGAAGGCATTGAAAAGGAGGAGGTACTATTAATGGCTGAGACCATGGCAGCCCCAGAGCCTCAGAGTGAGCCCACCATTCTAGGGCTCTACACACTCCAGACTTTGCTTTGGCCTTTCTTCAACACTAACACTGCTGGATTTTAATGACCTTTATGCTTGCCAATGAATCACAAGACTTACCAATTTAGTCTTTCTGTAGCAGGCTTTTTCTTTTAGATCACCAACCTTTCAAATCACGACACGGAAACTTATTATTAGTTATGAATTCTCAGTCTTAGCTTATGCTCATTTCTGGCTTTTTTTTCTTTATCTTAAACTACCCTGTTTCTCTTCGTCTGTATTTTGCCTCAGGGTTTTTTATCTTTCTATCTGTATGTCTTTCCTGCTGTCTCTATGTCTGGCAGGTTGGTGGCTGCCTGACTTCTGGCCCTGGGCATGTCCCTCTCTTTCTCCTTATTCTTTCTTTCTTCTCTTCCCCCAAGCCTAGATTTATCCTCCTATTTATTCTCTCTGTCCACTACCCCCACCTTTCTCTGCCTATCTATTGGCCATTCAGCTTTTTATTAGGTGTCTTAGGCATTCAAGGGAAACAGTAACACAAATTTTCATAACTAAACAAATGCAGCATAAGTAAATGTAACACGCCTTTATACAGTAAAATTTTCCACAACATAAAAACAAATGCAATGCATATTTACAGAGCAAAAGTAAATTCTACAACACCTTTCAGAGTGCAAAGCAACTTTTATTTCCCATTGAAGAGACACTGGGATTGCTGGTGTATAGAGGTAAGCCACCATGGATACAAAAAACTGTTCTCCATCTCACTTTGATTTGGCATCACACACACATTAGACTTGTACAGTGTTGCTGTTGCTTTAAACCAACCTCTAATTCTCACTTTACTTCCCATTTGATCTTTTCTTGTAAGACAAGCTTCCTCCTTATGTCCCTGTGCTGCTGAGGTCACAGGTCATTTGTGGCTCAGATCTATAGCCTCTCTGCTCTACATTCAGATGCTTCCCACCTCTAGGTTGCCTTTCTTGAGGATGATGTTCATCAAAGGGCTCTGCTCATGGATGTCTTCCTGCCTAGGCTCATGCTTGCAATACATCCCTCTTCAGCTTCATCAGCTGCTGTTTACACTGAAGCCACATGGAGCCGTCTTGCTTCTGTCATAGGGCACCCACTAATCATGCTGCTCTTTGCAGTTTCCTTAGTCCAATCATTCCATCAAACCCAATGCCTCTGAAAAGATCCCTTCCATTATGTCTGCCCGCTCACAAAATGAATGTATCTCTAGCGATCAGGGAATGCCCGGGGTATCTTGATTTCTTTTAACATAAACAGTGGATTCCCTTGTAAAATGTTTGACAATGTCAATCATCTCAGTACTTCTCTGAGATAGGAACTGGTGAAGGGAAAGTGTGGTTGGAAGTATCTAATCCCAAATCAGGTGTGGGGTTCCCTTACTGCTCTCCTTGGCCAGGTTGTCTCTGGCAATGCAGGTTATGGGGCTGAGTCCTGTCTCTCTGCAGCTGCTGGCTTCATGTAACCAGAGTCCTGGGTTTCTTTCCACAGTCTATAGTTCTTTCTCTAATAAGAAACCCTGAAAGGGCTTTGAGAACTCCATTCCACTGTGTGGGAAGAAGCCAGAACCTATGCTTTCTCTTTTGGCCACTTCATTGTTTAGCTGTTTCAGTTAGTCATCTCCACTGAACAAAAGCTTAGAGAACACTCTAGATACAGTTTTAGAAAATGATGACTCACAAAAAAGTGGTGAACTACAAACCAAACTATTAAAGATTAGGAATCATAGCATCGTGTTCACAATAGTATGAGAGGAATATAGTGAAAAGTAAGCATGCTTTCAGCCTGGGCTTGCTCTGCTGCCATCCCGACTCTTTGCAGGCATCAGTGGCTTCTTCTGCACAGCTCTGGACATGGTCAGAGAGACACATGCCCAGACAACAAGCTCACAGATTGGCGAGACTCCATTGTTTGAATTCTTGGCTGGTTGGTTCCCTGTGATGCCTGCCCTTCCTTTGCCTTGTTTTTCACTAGCTTGAGAACTTCTAGGATTGCTGGAAAGTGACACCAGCTAAGGGAAGAGTAACTTAACCTAAGATGAATTACTTTCCTGGGTTCATATTTCCCTAAAGAGGCCATGGAGGAAGGATATATTCTTACATTGTGGCCCAAGGATGCAAAGCCATATTAGGTAGACCAGTTCCCTCTGGTTCCCAATCTAGCATCATCAAATGTTTAAAACTTATTTTGTAAACAAGTAAGAGTCACATTGAGTTATGGCCACTGAGTAGCTATGTGAGATCTGATTTGTCACCCTAAAAGGGGAGCACATCCCAATTTACTGTTGCTAGTGTATCATTCTTTAGGACAGAGGCTCTCAACCATGAGCTACTTTGTTTCCCGAGACCATGGGCCTTGTCTTCATTTGAAGGACTTCCTTTCTCTGTGTCACCAAGACTTTACACAACAGATTGTTTTGCTTTGGCCTGTGGTGTCCTTGAAATTGCTGTGCTCACCCAGTGTGGTCCATCCTATTGGAACTATCTGGACTTTTATGCAGTAGGGTGACTAAAAAAGCCCTTAACTGTCAAGAAAGGCCACACTCTAGAACCTTTCAGTTGGGTTCCCTCCACCTGGGATACCCAGGGAGGCCACTGCCTCTCAGACCCTGTCCCTGTATTGCCTGCTTCAAGAACTTGAAGGTGGTTTGTAAATTATATAGCTCACTGTAGAATCACCAGTTTATGCTGGTTACAGAATTTCCTGGTTCTGTAGTCAACTAAGGACTTGGGTTCATTTTTCAAATGGCCTTAAATTACTTAATTTTCTCCCAGATGGATCTATTTTAGGAAAGGAAAAGATGAAAGAATTAAGACAAGGCAAAAATGTGGCACTATCATACAAACCATACCTCAGAAAACTATCCTAGTGAAGTTGCTAAGGCCTGAAGGTCTTCACACATTCTCTAGATTCAGTGAAGTAGATATGTGGGTTTCAGAAAGGGTATCCTCTAACTGTAGTGCCCCACTGTCAAGAACCCTGAGAAGCCAGGAGCAGTAGTGTAGAAATCTTTAGGTGTGTCTACCCCGTGGTCGGGCCCTAAACGTGGACACCAAGCTCTCCTGGGCCTGCTCTTGGGGCTGACACATGCTGGTCAAACGAATCGGATCAGTCTTGTGCTCCACGATGTTGAAAGGACAGGCTTTCAGGTGTTCTGACATGGAGGTGACTTCGTTAAACTCCCAGCTCTTGATTTTGGAGAAGAGACTGCTGAACTGCCAGACCTGCTGGGAAAGAGAAACTCAAAGGTGATCATGGGCAGTGAGCAGGGAGTGTGAGCAGGGAGTGTGAGCAGGGAGAGAGTGCTTCTGGGTTGAGTGGTTCTGAGCTGTGTGAGAGATGGCTGGCCCTGTTCCTCTGTGTTCAACATCCCCAGTGCTCAGTGGCTGCACAACACTCATTTCCTTTTCCTGCATTGAATGCCCAGCACCTTGCTCATTAATCACCTTCCCAGCCAGCTTTGTAATCATTTATGACACCTGATGCCAATCAACAATTAATATACACCTTCCGCAGACCCCTAGGAGCAACAAGAATTAGGTCTAGACACAGTTCGAATGTTGATCATTAGCTCTCGTGGGGCTCTGCTCTGGAACCTTTGAACAAGACATCAGAAGCAGATCCTCCCAGTAGCTACCAGGGACACTGAGGAAGAGCTACCCTAGAATGTAGCCAATATCGCAGAAGTGGGGTTAAGAACAAAGGTCATCTTTGAGCTGCTAGATGAAACCTTACCTGAAGCTGTTGCCTTTGGATTTAAAACAGTTATGTGTTAAGAAATTTATTTTATCATTTATGCCCCTTTATGTTTGTTTTCAAAACTTAAAACGAAAAATATTCCAACAATGAAGGGTGTTCTTAAAATAAAGACCCCAACAGAAGATTTCCATGAGTATGGTGCTCAATCGAGCATTGATTTTCCACTTGAGATAGGGTAGCAGAGTCACCAGTTTTAAAGTGCTGAGGGTAGACAGACTGATGCCCTTTCAGCCTGACTGCTCCAACGTTGGTCATTGTTTCTGAGGTCTTAGAACTGTTATCCATTTTCCCTAAAAAGCCACTTTGATATGGCTATCCTTTAGTCTCCCTTTCTACAAGAAAATTAGTCTGTCCTAAATGATGTCCAAAAGTGATGAGACATTTGCATTTGGAGCAAAATTGAAGCAAAAATAATGAGCTTATTTTTAGTATGTAAACTAAACAATTGACATGTGATTTTTATAGAGAAAGGTAGGTGCTGGTCTTAGAAATACCGCTAGAGGCAGTATATTGTTCTCATGAATGTTTATCACTAACACGGTTTGGTGGCAGTCGGTCTTTAATATGTGGGTGCAGGCATAGATACATAAGAGAGTCTTATAACTGTTTTTCCAGAAAGATTGTTTAAGGGAAAATTAAGGGAACATATACAGGGTACTTTGGATATAATCAGTAAAAATAGATGCAAACAACTCTAATTCCTCCATATCAATTTGAGGATATCCATGTATTAGGGACAAACACAGCAGTGACAGTGGGGATGCAAACAGAGATCATATATTCATGATTCATATTATCAACACATTTACTATAATAAAAGATGTCACAAACACTTTGAATATGATGAATTAGGAGTCTAATTTCTGGAGAATCTGCAAGTCAATGAAGATGACTCAAATGAAAGAAGAAACATGGTTTTATAGAAGGAAAGAATTCTTTGATTTGTATACTGCAGTGTTTTATATTAAATAAACAATTTAGCCATGGGAAATCAGTGGACCAAACTCACATACAATTTCAGAATAAAACCTATTTTTAAAAGTCTATTGGCGTGAGACTGACAGTAATGTGTTCGTCTGTCACACCAATCAGAGTCCAAGCAGGGAGCAAGTGATATACTCAAATTCAGTGGGTTTTGTTTTGTGAGGGAGTGTAGTTTGCAAATCTTGGGGCAATATCCAGAGCTAGTAGCCTGAATTTTCATGGAAAGAGGGAAACTGTTCACTAAACCCAGAAAAAGCAGCTGTGTTGGTTAAGTCACTGGGTGTAACCACGCCCAGTGGAGGGGCGGAGGGGCACAGTCACTTCATGGTGTCTTGAAGGGGAGGGGTGGGTGTGCTGAGGAGAGTGGCTCCTTCAGCACTTTTCCCTCCTCCCTTATCCTCCTGAAACTTTTGCACTGGTTCAGCTTAACAAGAAGCTGGAGAGCCAGCAGAAGCAAGCTGCAGAGATAATAAGTCTCTGGGATAGACCAGGGTTGAGAAGGATGGAGTACAGAGAGCCAGCGTAGAATGGGTGAGCAAGGGAAAGATATGCAAAGCTTATAAGCAGGCATGGGCATTGGCACTGCACTGCCAAACATATGCCTATATTCTCCTTCCTGCCGGACTGAACTTCTCAGGTGAGTCTTATTTCCAGCAACTGCCCCAATGCCTGGTACAGCACTTGTCCCCAAGAGAGCACTTAATAAATATTTGTTGAATGAATGAACAAGTGAATAAATGCAAAAATGTTTACTTGCCTGACTGTGGACTTTCCAGGAGGTGCCCCCATGAGAATACCTCTTCTTCTTCCATTGCAAGAGGACCATCCCTCTCTCTTGCAACAAAGTGGCACAGATGTTCCTCATCAGTACAGACACCTGGGAGAGCTGGGCCAGGCTGATGCTGTCCAGAAACCCAGCAATGTATTGCAAAACTTCCAGGGGCAGGCTGGTTAGAGAATTCAGATTTTTCCTACCATGGCCTGAGAGCTGGTCACTCTTCCATCCCTCACTCAGCTCCGGAGCAACCTCTGGCTTGATGGCAAAGGTCTTCAGCTCTTGGCTGTAGATTACTTTTGCTTTTTGTCCAGGAGGTCGGAAGTGGTTTTGGACAAATGTACATCCCAAGTAGGCAAGAGGGCATCGATGCTGGAACCAGCCGTTGAGACACGACTGAATGTCTGTGTGGACGTTCTTGAAATGCAGGGGAAATTCATCCCTCCGGAAGAATTTGTTGCAGGTGAAAGTGAAGGCTGAGCTGCTTTTGTTGTGTCTCCGGGTCACACACTCGCTGTGAAGTTCCACATGCAAGCCCCCGGTTTGGGCAGTGGTGCCTAGGACATCAGCCAACACTGTTTCTGAGGAAAACTGCTCTGGCTCAAAGTTGTATGTTTGGGTGGCAAGGTCCATAAAGAGCCCATCGATGCTCCTGGATTCAGAGATGACGTGGCCTTTGAGCTCTCTTTCCAAAGCACACTGGAGGGTGGTCTTGATGAGATCGGATTTGGGCAGATCCTCCACACAGACGCCCAAGTCGGAAGTGTCCACGGCCTTGTGTTCACTTGGTCTGCACTTCAACATGGCATCTCCCAGGCGAGCTCGCTTCCCGCAGTAGCTCACAGGAATTTTGAAGGTGTAAACCGTTTTCACTTCTTGCGCCTCGAGGTTGCTGTAAACAAAGTCTCTCTCCTTGGGCGTACAAGCTGGCATCTGGCCGAAGTGGATGAGCATCCGCCCATTGTGCACCAGATACATGTTATAGTCTTTGGCATCTACCGCTGTTTTCAGTCTTTCCAGAACGCCATCTTGCCAGGGGGCAAGTCCTGTCATCTCCATGGCAGCGGGAAGATCCTGGGGCTTCGGGCTTTCCCGTGGTTCTCTTCCTCCGGGAGAGCCTTCTGCATCACCTGTGCTGCCATTATTGGAACACTGCTCACTCCCGGTCACATTCCCACTCTTGTCTTCACTCTTCCCTGAGGAACCGGCTAAAACTGAGGCTGCGTGTTCTTTGCTGAACATACTTTCCCACTTGCCAAACTTGTCCAGGTCCATACCTTCTTTGGTTTTCGCCAGTGCATCTCTTTCTTCCTGACTGAGTTCCATCACTTGCCCGTTAGCTGCTGGCAGACAACAGTGTGGCACTGGCCTAGCATCCACTCCCCCGACTGCACCTCCAGTCTCCTCCCAGCTGGAGTCACCATTCATAGCTGGCTCCTCCTCGGTGGTGTCTCTGGTTTCTGGGAAAAGCTCTACCATTTTCAAGGATCTGAAGAGAACCTTCTGGTCCTGGAGGGCCAGGGCTGTGTCCAAACACTCCTCACTGGGAGTCTCTTTCATGATGTTCTCATGAAGGACAGTTTCTGAGTCCACATTGGGCCAGCGGTTCCATTCCATGGAGCAGCAGACCACGCTGGCGGGGCACACCTGCAGGTGCTTAGACAGCTTGTGGCGTGCCATGGAGAGCGGGCAGCCATACTCGGAGTTGAGGCATGGAACCTGCTCTAGAGGGCAGAGGAGCGCGTGCTCTGCCTCTTTGCACATGTGGAAGGTAGCACCACAGAGCAGGTGGCAACTTATCAGCTGACAGGAGACGCTGGGCTCCACTGGAACATGGCAGTGGCGGTTGATACATCCCTCACAATGCCTATGCTGCTCAGGTTGAGGCCTGCGTGCCCGGCCCTGAACACATGGGGACAAAGGCAGAAAAGACAGGTGATTGCAGGAAGGGGAACAGAATACACTGTTGCAGTGGGTTTTGATGCACTTATGTCTTTTTAAAACTTCTGTAGCAATCTCTTAATGCAGTGACAATGGGTAACTTCCAGGACAGTCTTTGTACCAGTCTATGCTGTGTAAGTGGTGCGTTTAAAACATATCCCAAAGATTGGGCCATGACAGACTACATTTAACACCTGTTATTTTCAAACCATGTATTATGGGTGATTTGTAACACATTGCTAATCGTTTTGTCTTAGGGTTACTATTACTGCAATGAAACATCATGACTTGCTTTCTTATAGAACCCAGGACCACCAGCCCAGGGATGGCACCACCCACAATGGGCTGTGCTCACCCATATCAATCACTAGTTAAGGAAATCCTCTACAGTTGGATCTTATGGAGGCATTTTCTCAGTTGAAGCTCCCTCCTTCCAGATGACTCTAATTTGTGTCAAGCTGATATAAGACTAGCCAACACAACTATCAATATGATTTTGAGCATTGCTTTTTACACACAAGACTGGATTCCAATTTACCTATATTTCTCATCATGCTTATTAATTTTTGTGTAATAATCCCTTCTAAAGACAAAAAGAGGATATAAAGGAGAGAGGGTGGATTTGGGAGGAGGTGGAAGAAGAGTAAATATAGTCAAGATACGCTGTATGAAATTCTGTAGTAATTAAAAGTATTATTTAAAAATTTCTGTCTAAGATCATGAAGATAAAGATTTATATAGCTTAGGAGTCTTTATTTTATTTATTTTATTTTTATTTTCTATTTTGATCTACAATATATTGAGATTATATTGTTGTATATAATTTCATTCAACACTAAAATAATATTTATTCTTTGCAAACTTTCTTCATAATGGTGGTGCATATAACACTACTGAATATGAGTGTGCTGTTATTCATCTAGCCAACTATGCCAGAGGACAAGATCTGGTCTTGTTTTGTTCACATTTTCCTCTCTAGAATCTAGCAATTGACATAAGTTACTCTACGTATTCAGTAATACTTCCTGAATGAATGAACAGTTAGCCATTTAGATTATTGTTGGCATTTTTAATATTTTTACTTTTTAAAAATTTCATTAATATTGCAAAATAATTATACATATATGTATGTATTATAATGGCTAATGACCACATTAGAGTAATTAACATTTCTATCTCATCATTTATTATTTCTATGTGTTGAGCAATTTATTTTCGTTTTTTCACTAAAAACCTTTGCTCACTAATCTTTCTCATCTTTCCCATTAGTCAGTGTCCACTTTTCAATAGTAAATATCATTAATGGACACAGACACATCTATGGCCATTGGCTTGGGCTCTGGGATAAATAAGAGTTAAACCTGGACCTCTCAACAATGAAATGCCAACAAAATCCTGATACTTACCATGGCTTCCCAACCTCTGGCTTCTTAACTCTAGGGGAAATATGAAAATATGGATGATTAGAAAGGAAAAGTATTGTAGTCATTTATATGATCAAGGGCCAAAGAGACTTCACATGATCTTTCATTAAATTCTGCTCATTTTACAGTTAAGAAGATGAAGACTTGAGAAGCTAACTTATTCAAGGTCATTTATCTACTAAGTATGGAGTCAGGTTTCCAAGTCATGCCAGGCTGGCCCAGGCTCTCTGCACTGACCCACATGTTCTCTGATGGGGCCTGTTCCAACTGTGGAACCTGTGACTTCTGCTTCTTGAAACCTTTCTTCATCATTTTCCTCCTACTGCCCATCCAGACCTAATCTCCCCTGCTACCCATGGGGCTTCATGTCTACTGATGGGTCAGCCTGATGTCCAGCTTGACCTGGAGCATACCTATCCTAGTATCTTCAGCTGTGTTATGGATAGGTCAGGGGTCAAGATCTCTGAACTTAGAAGCAGGCTACAGTGGAGACTGTGGCAACCAGAACAGAAGCTGTCCTGCCTTCGGGTGAATTGAAGCTACCCAGATCTGGTTGCTTGGTTCTTTGAGGGAATGTGTTGCCAGATCTTCTGGATTTTCCTGAGAAAACAGGAGGCAGATTTCTGTGAGTGTGATTCAGCGAAGTGGTTAGGAGGCTGATTGCATAGTTCTCTCCTCTAACTTTATACCTCAGTGGCTATGAGGCTTTGGGAACTTTTCTTGGCATCTTTTAAATCTATTTCCCCTCTGTGAAGGAGGAGGCTAGCATTACCTACACCACCACTATTGAGTAGGATAGCACTATTGAAAGGGATAAATGAGTTAAATATACATGAAAATTTTAGAACAGTGTTGGTGTAACCTATATAGTCACTCATAAAAATAAGTATTCTTGCTGGGCGGTAGTGGCGCACACCTTTAATCCCAGCACTCAGGAGGCAGAGGCAGGCGGAGTTCGAGGCCAGGCTGGACCGACAGCCTCCAAAACAATACAGAGAAACCCTGTCTCATAAAAAACTAAAAAAAAAAGTATTCTCTATTTCATCATAGGGCAAAAAGTTTTACCACACTATATATCAGAAAACCCTCAGAATTTTAAGTGTTGACAGCTAATTCAATATAAAACAACCATATTCTATTGGGGCAAAGACAAACTATTCACGCTAGATTAGCCGTGCTGGCTGAGTTTCTAATGCCTGGCCTAGAGAATCAGCAGGGCTGTCCAAGTTTGTATTCATCTGGGCCAGAGCTGGGAGGTTAGCACTCCAAAATCAGAAGGTGTAGAATCTTACATTTTTATTTATTTAGAATTTGACAATCTGTTGGGTGACTTCTCTCCCAGTAAAATTTTTCAAAAACATACAAAAGGTGAATTAACATATACAATAAGCAATTCACGACACACCACTATAACAATTGTTAGTGTCTTGCCATTTTGTGCCTCCTCTTTTGAGTGGTTAGAAACACTAATGATGTTTCATCCCTTCCTTTTCCTCTGGAACTTATGGTACCATCATCTCATCCATAAAAACTAAAAACAACTACCTAACATCATGAACACACACACACACACACACACACACACACACACACACACACCAGGGTTGGTCTCCCTATGTAGCCCTGGCTGTCCTAGAACTCTCTATGTAGATCAGGCTGGCCTTGAACTCACAGAGATTAAAAGTCTCTGCCTCCCCAGTGCTGGGATTAAAAGTATGCACCAATGCACCTTGTTTGAAACAGAATTCTTTTCAGTACCTGTGTATTGAAGTTGGGGAAGTCTTTTTTTATCTTTAGTCTGAAATACCCACCCACCCCCAGGACATCTTCAGGGAATTTTTACCCCGACTCTTACTTTATGCTTTCGTTTATATGTCTATCCATTCAATAAACTTTTGTTGATTGTACTTTATGTGTCACTAATGCCTGTGAGTCACAAAACTGCTGTGAAACTGAGTCTTAGACACTTCCATCAGACTCACCTGTGAACCTTGTGGACCTGAAAATCCACATTGTTCTGTATAGTAGTCAACCACTTGCAGCTGTTTCAATTTGATCAAAATGAAATAAAATGGAGTAACTTCTCCTTCATACCAGTTGTGTTTTAAGTGTTCAGTAGTCACATCTGCAAGTAGTTATTCTGTTGGATGACACAGAATAGGACATTTCCATTTGAGTTCTAGTGTTCTAACTGCACCCGTGGCTATGTGTAGGATAAATACTGGAATTATACCTTCAATACATGTCCTGGTGTTTGTTTGTTTTGTCAGTTTAATATATGCTTGTGGGGAGCCGCCCCCACATTCTCCGTTACAAGATGGCGCCGACACCTGTTGTCGGTTGGAGTAAACAAGTGCCTGGCACTTTTCCATCCCTTACTCTCTGCCTCTCCTGTGGCGTCATATGGGCTGACGAGCAGGAGCCAGTCAGGAGATGACACGTCCGAGGCGGGGACTGCTGGGCTATATAAGGGTTGGGCTTTTCGCTCCCCGGGGTCTCCGCTCTGTAAGCTTATGCTCTCCCTCTCAAGACGCTGTTCCGCAGAAGGATCCTAAGTGTGCTGGCGCCATCTTGTAACGGAGAATGTGGGGGCGGCTCCCCACATATGCTAGAGTTATCTAGGAAGAGGAACTTCAATTTAGAAAATGCCTCCATCGATTACCTATAGGAAAATCTATAGTGCCACCCATGGATAGTTAGTTGGTACTGGGTTGTGTAAGAAAGCAGGCCGAGCAAGCCATGAGGAACAAGTCAGTAAGCAACATTCCTCCATGGCCTCTTATTCAGTTCCTGTCTCCAGTTTCCTGTCTTGAGTTCCTGCCCTGACTTCTCTTCATAATGGACTATAAGCTACAAACTTAAATAAACACTTTCCTCCACAAGTTGCTTTTAGCCCTGCTGTTAATCATAGCAGTAGAAACTGAACAAAGACAACATACTTCCAATCTGATTATTCTGATTAACCTGAACCTTCCTTCTAGACCCCACCATGTGTAATCATGAAGGAGGATCACCCCAGAGTGCTATATGCTCCTGCTACCCTGAACCAGGGGATAGGTAAGAAGGCTGTGACTCAGAGCATCAACTATGTTCAGGGGCAGTAGTAGAAAAACAAAGGTATGAGAGCCAGAGAAGCTGGACAGAATCAGAGGGCTGAAAGGTTTGGTCCGCCTAATGGGCTGAATGTTGTGTTCATCAGCAGTTTTACTGTTGCAATTTAACCACCAATGTGATCATATTTGGAGGTGGAGTCTTGGGAAGTGATTGAGTCTTAAGAGCAGAGCCTTCATGAATGAAATGAGTGCCTTCATAAAAGGAGCTGGAGGGAAGGGATCCTCACGGCTTCTGTCCTGGCAGCACACAAAAACAAGATAGCTGTGAACCAGCATGCAGACCTTCAAAATACAACAAATCTGCTATCATCTTGATCTTGGACTCCCAATGGAGAAATTGCTGTTGTTTTGTGTTATCTAGCCCCCAGTGTTTTGTTAGAGTAACCAAAATAAACAATGATAGAACAAAGTCAGTTCAAAGAACACATCTTTTGTATGCAATGGTCCAGCTAACTGATCGTTTAAGATCACTTTAATGTGCAGGGTGACCCTTGCCATATTTGAGATCATTCCTAGAGGGAAAATTCATGGTGAACTTCTCATAGAAATTCTTAAATATTAGACTAAGGAATCTGGAACTGTTTGGTATACAATTAAGGTGGCATCTTACATTGAGATTTGGGAACTAAGTGGAACCGAGTAAGAAGCTCTAGAGTAGGGAACTAATGTAGAGAATATGATGTAGTTGCACAGGTAAGGCTGAAGACAGTAGAAATAGAAAGATGACTCTGATGGAAGGTACTACAAAGGGAGACTCTGGTTTACTTCTGATTGGAGATGTGTAAATGAGTTCAAGTTGATGCCAAGATTTTAATCCAAGTTGACCACAAGTTTTGAGAAAACCAGAAGTCTATGAAGAAACTCCACGAGGAGGCAAGATGAGTCCAACAAGTTTGATGTAAGCTGTTTAAGGTGATGGCAATCTTGTGATGAGAAGAGGAACTTGGAGGAAGAGATGATGCTGTGGAGCTAACCAAGTGAGTGAGAAGGCTCTAAGTGGGAAATGAAAACACAGAATAGATATCTGAGACATGAAGTATTAATACCCAGCCATGTGTGACCACTTTGGGGACATTAGGAAGAAGGGCATCCAGAGGTGAGACCAAATGTTGAGCAAATCAGAACTATGTTGTCACAGATATAAAGGAAAAGGTGAGTAATGCCACATACACTGCCAGAAAAAAAAATGGTGACAGCCATGACTACATGTGCTTACAAGCAATCCCCAAACAGCTCTTGTGGCATTTCAGCTGTGGGAGCCTTGCCCATGTGCAACTGGTGTTTGATGAGAGGGAGAAGCATGTGCTTTGATGCTGACAGGATTGTGGCCTCTCAGGAGGAATGGCACCATCTGCTTCCGGTTCAGAATAGCAGCTGCAGTAAGGATGGAGTGTGGAATACTCTGGATCCCGTCAGGTAGAAAAAAGACTGATCACAAAGGGTATGAAAGCATGTTAAAAAAAACTACCAACACTAGGAATTTCTGGCATACTTAGTACATGTTGGCAATGTACTTGGTCACGCTACTAAGCTCAACTTCTGGGAATAGAAACAAAGAGTTTGACTGGTTTGCTGGACCTCAGGCATAAGAACTCTTCTTCTCAGCAAAGATGCACTTCACTAAAGGCAATGGGATAGGCTCAAAGCACAACCCCTCCCCTTAAGTGTTTTAGAGTTCTTAGGAACCGCCAGTGAAGATGGGAATATACTATAGCTTTGTTGTTCTCTATTCTTGTAATGTTCTTTGAAAATATCTCTCCAAGAGAAAACAGTGCATCCTATCAACAAAGATGTTCCCCCTTCCTTTTTAAATGTCACTATTTAAAAGCCTCATTACAAACTCTAGAGTGTCACCAGTTGAGATAGGACCAGTGTTGAACAAATGTCACCTTGGAGAAGTTAGGCAGTAAAAGGAAGGAGAAATACAGATATAGCCCAAGACATAAAAATCACATCTCAACCTTTCATTGTATACTAGGGGAAATTATTTTCATTGGCATAAGGGTCAATCCAGAACTCTTAAGCGCCTGAATTATTGCCTGGGATTCTCTTGGTTTAATATTGAAAGTCAGCCACACATCCCAGAAGTTCCCTAAGGGGAAGGCAGTGAATTGATTAACTTGAGTTTCAGGCAGCGAGTTTTGCACCAAATGAATTAAATTAGACACAACATCAGTTGCCTTGTAATGTAAGAAAGTTTCTCTCATCCTTGGATTCAGTGCTCAGTGGCTAGATGCTCCTCTTTGGAGTTTGTCTGACTTACTTAGACTGAAGATATATCTGTGTTGAGTATGATGGATGAAGAGAGGTGTCTTAGTTTGGGATTCTATTGCTGTCATGAAACACTGTGACTAAAAGCAAGTTGGGGATGAAAGCAAGTTGGGGCTTATACTTCCACATCACAGTTCATCTTCAAAGGAAGTCAGGACAGGACCTCAAATGGGGCAGAAACGTGGAGGCAGAAGCTGAAGCAGAGGTCGTGGAGGGGTGCTGCTTGCTGGCTTGCTCATGGTTTGCTCAGCTCAGTTTCTTAGAGAACCCAGGGTCACCAACCCAGGGTGGTATCATACACAATTATGACACCACCCACCACTTTCTCCATCGATAATTTTAAAAATGCCCTACAGCTGGGTCACATGGGGAAATTTTCTCAACTGAAGCTCCCTCCTCTCTGATGACTAGCTTGTGTCAAGTTGTTATGAAATTAGCTAGCATAAGGAAGGAAGGTTTTAGTACCTATATTAACATCTTATTTAGTCCTCACAAAAGCTATGTGAGGTGTGTGTTGCCACCTTCTGTTTACTGACAAGAACACTGAGACACAAAGAGATCTCCATTTTTCAGGCTTCAAACCCAATACTATATCGTGTTCCTTGGGGACATGTGCAGTCCATCTCCATTATTTGGGGAAGAAACAAGACCATGACTAGAGTGCACACAGCAGAGTGTTCACGTGTATAATCCTTCCAGAGTGGACAGGAGCTAGATGATCCTTATCAGGAAATGTCTCCGTGGAGATATTTTTGTAGGCCTTTCAATCAGATCTTACATTAGGTCCCTTTTAAGGAGAACAAACAAGAGAATGATTTACGTTTGGTGGTGTTGTGTTTCAGAGACTACAAATGTGAAAGAGAAAGTTTAAAATGCTACACTACAATATTGGTTCTGATACTTGATGTGAAACTATATAAATTACACATATTACAGAAACTCTAACTGTGGGAGAATGATAAAAAGATACACTTGAGATAGTGTATGATTGCTCTTCTGTTTACCCTTAAACTCTCTATTCCCACCTCTAGAAAATTAAATTTAGTCAAAAAATGTGAGCAACATGCCTTCATCAAAATATAAAACTTGAATTTCCCCTTTACAAAAGAGACAATAACAAACATGATTTAAACTTTATACATCCAACAAGAGACAGATACTCAATTTAATTGGCTCTATTAGGTACAGTCTGAGTGAAGTTGATGGCACAAGTGTGTGTTAAGGGAGTGAGTATCTCTATGAGGAAATGGAGCATTTAGAACTTGGCAGGAGTTGGGCATGGTGGAACAGACCTTTAATCCCAGCATTTAGGAGGCAGTGGCAGGAGGATTTCTGTGAGTTTAAGGCTAGCCTGGTCTACATAGTGCGTTCTAGGACAGTAAAAGCTAAAAAGAGAGACCCTGTCTGAGATAGACAGACAGACAGACAGACAGACAGACAGACAGACAGACAGATAGACGTGACCTGGTGGGGTTGGGGACAGTAGTTTAACCAGATACTAGTGGTGACATTCTGCAGACCACTTAGAAAGTGGTAAAATTGCTAAGTCAAGTCAAGGGAAGTAGGGCAGCGGCTCCTAAGGTTTTTAAGAAGAGCTCCCCACAGCAGGAGCAGTATCGTCTGTGAACTCTTTACAATTCTCGTTTGAGTTCCAAACCCAAATCTATTAAATCAGACCCACTGATTCTCACTAATATTATGGAAGTTCAAATTTGGTAATCATTGCATTAAAGGTATCTTGTTATAGTGCTTGAAACACAAGGG